CGTTAAAAAAGCAGATAAAATCATTACTACTGAGTGCTATGGGAATAGAAGGCTCAGTCGAGCTGTGGCTCTCTGTCAGCCTGGCTACAGTGCTGAAAAGAAATCTTGCATTATTCTTATTCTCATCTATTAATGAAGAGTAGTAGGCTGCTCTCGCTTTACGCAGTGCTTTCTTATATTCATTGAGAGTAATATGCCAAATTAAACGAGATTCTTCAAGTTTAGTGGAACGCCATATCCGTTCAAGTTGTCTCGACTTTTGCTTTATTTTGCGGGTTTCGGCATTATGCCATGGAGCTAATCTATGTTGTTTTATTTTCTTCTTTTTCAAAGGAGCAACAGAGTCTAATTTTATTCGCAGCGCATCTGTAGCACTATCAACAACATGATCAATTTGGGGTGGTGTACATTTTGTATAAGTTTCCTCCCCTACATGCAGACATGCTATCGAGTTAAGTATTGGTGGAATCTCTTCCTTAAATTTGGCTATAGCACTAACGGATAGGTTTCTGCTGCAGGAGCTTTTGGCTAATGCTTTGTAGTCTAGTAACAGTACTTCAAAAGTTACTAAGAAATGGTCGGATAAAGCAGGATTATGCGGTTCGACTAATTAATATCAGTTCTCACGCCAATAAAAAGTCTATGAACCAACTCAAAGGTGTGTTATACTTTTAAAAAGAGTTAATTTGACACTTTAAACTTCAGGTGTTTATGGATACATGAATTTACCTAGCAGTAGTCAGAGCAGAATAAATCTTGCGGGCTTGGTGTGACGCATCTGCTAATATTGATGCGTTCAAGGACACTCAGAAATGCTAAAGTTACCGATGAAGAGCGCCGGAAAAGAGACTAAATTAGAGTATTTTTTGTATTTATGTTATATATTTGTTTAATAATATAATTTGTTCACAGTGTACAAATTTGAGTTGTCAGGATCCATTATCAAAAACACCGTCATGCATAAAGACTGACATGCAGAAAGAGCCTTGAACCATGTCAGTTGGACTGATATTTTTGCTTAATTATTTGTCCTTTTTCAAGCTACGGGATGTTTTCCTACGTTTGTCATGAAAAATTATGTCTCAGTAATGTAGGGTTTGGGAATTATGGCAGTTTTAAAAAAATATATGAAGGCAAATTTCAAACTGTCCTCCACTCTAACTCTGACATCACGCACTCTGCCTTAACGAGCTGCGCAATGTTAAAGTTCAAATGTAAAAAATGTGATGAATTATGGGATTTATCTCTGGAATTATGAAAGTTATGAATGAGAAAAGTAATAGCCATCGATTCCCGACCGAGCTGAACGTTTTGATGTTTGAACGGAGTTTCTGAGATGTTCAATGCGGGAGAAGAAGCGCGGCAAAATAAGTCGGCGGAATAATAAACTTTTCGTCCGTAGAAGAACAGTTAGTTGGAATGCTGTTAACAGCATTCCCACTAAATAATGACGTTGATCATTGTTCATCATTATATCTCTTAATCTTATATCCCTAGAGCAAGTTATTTTGTTTGTATGCATCATGCATTATTTCTATGCTTTGGCTAAAATGACTGTTACAGATGCAGAGCAGATGTTTTGTGAAATGTTTGTTTTTTACTGGCTACTCCTGCAGCACAAAATCATAGGTCGTATCAGCAGAGGGGGAAGAAGTACCCTTAAGTAAAAGTAGAAATACAACACTGTAGGAATACTACAAGTAAAAGTCCTGCATTGCAAATGTTACTCAAATAAAAATACAAAGTAGCAACAAATGTAAAGAATGGTATCTCAAAATGCTAATTAAGTACAGTAATTATTAGTACTTGAGTAAATGTACTTAGCAAATACACCACTGCATATCAGCTGTAACTGTTTAAAAGTGATACACCTCCCCTCTAGTAAATCATCAATTTCAGGATTCACATAAATATCAATACTTTTTCAACAAAGATGGACAAACTTGTCAAAACTGTGGTGGCTCAGATTAAGTAGACTAAGGATTCAAGATTCAACCATTCAAAGGCTTTATTGCCATGTGCAAAGTCGCTACAGTGTCGTTTTGGCAATGAAAATCTTAAGTCCCAGGCTCCTCGAACTATGCATAATAAATATATAAAGGACATAAACCGATCAAATATAAAAATATATGTTTTTGTTATTACAATGTTTCAAAACAAAATAACATTTAAGTTAATATGGGATAGGTCTCCAAATGGTAGTACCCTGTATCAAAGCACACGGCCATCTCTCACACAATCACATTCTTTTAGCCTCTTCTGTACATTTGTGGCTTAAAATGTGCAGCTGTTGCTAGAAAAGAAACATCTCTGTATTTTTCATGGTTTACAATCCCTCATTATATAAATGTATATGTTTTTAATATTTACTTTAGGAGTTGCAAGAGAAGGATGTCCCAGATTTTGTGGAGGATCTGAGTAAAGATGTCAATGAGGTGAAGAAGGAAGTAAGAGAGTCACCTAATACCATATCAACTATCGTGGAAATCCTGGGCAACATTGCAGATTTCCCAACTCTGGTCGTCAATCAACCTGTCATAGAGGTAGGTTAAACCTCCCAGCTAGACATTTTTGGTTCTAAAATCATTCTTAGAATGTTACCATTCACTGTTCTAGGAATATGGCGGTAGTGGGAAACAGTTGTTCCAGGATGGGTAGAGGGGCCTGGCTGGTCTTGGGAGTGTGGAAGGCCTTGGATTCCTCCTGGGAGAGACATAAAAATGAGTGTGAGGCAAAAGCAGGCAAAGTTGTTAAAGAATATGCTGGTAAAAAGCTAGAGCGGCACGCAACAAACCGTTCACGGCAATAATCCGGCAGGGAATGAGTGCAGGCTGCAGGCTTTCATAGTGTGGCTGATGAGCTGGTTGCAGGTGTGGTTGATTGGAGATTGCTCCCAGCCGTGTAGAGCAGACCAGCAGGCAGGGGGGGGAGAGAGAGACACAGACAGTAGAAACAAACACATACAAACACTAACAGCAAGAAAAAA